GGGGTGCAGGACTAGGCAAGGTCCCCAGCGCCAGCACCGATCAGCCCAAGGCCGAGGAGACGGCAGCAGCACAAGATGAGGACGGCTGGCGGAAGCAAGGCGCCAGGGGAGAGTGGGAGAAGCAGCGCTGGTGGTCTTTAGACTCGGAGGAGACAGGCCACGACAACGGCTGGCGGTCCTTCGGCTGGACTTCCGGCGGCTGGAGCAGCAGCGCTAGCTGGGCGCCACGCGGGGACTACTCAGACCCTCCCGCGTGGCCCGGCTGGGGGCACTACCGACAGTGGAAGCGTGCTCTCAGGAGATGGGACGCCAACACAGACGTTCCAGTGTAGCGTCGAAGCGAGAAGTTCATGAAGTTGTTCGATTGGAATATGCAGGCCCGATTTGAGTACATCACCGACTACGAGCTCGCGAAGGCCACCTGGTTAGACACGCTGATCGCGCGGATGGATCCGACTTGATGATTGGAGAGCGCGAGGGCGATGAGCTTCGAAGGTCTGGACGGAGAGCTCTGTACGAGGCTAATAGGGAGAACAAAGAGACTCTTACTCAGTACGTGATTCGACGAGAAGCCCAGTTCACCGAAGCGGAGGGACACGAATTCTGGATGTCCGACAAACTGAAGGGCTTGTTCCTCGAGGAAGGTGCTAATCTCTCGTCTCAGGGCACTCAGAACTTGCGGACGCTGACCTCCGGAGGCCTGGAGTTCAAGAACATCGCTTGGGCCCTTCGTCAAATGGATGCCTCAGGCTCGGAGCGTCTCCTGCCAGGCCGATCAGAAGCGGGAGCTATGTTCGGTACTGAGGACTACGGTCCGGATGCTGAGTGCCCCGAGGCCAGTGGTGATCAGTTTTCTCCTCCTTCCTTTCCCTCTCGGTCTGATGGTGGTGGCGTCGGTGGTCAGATCGACTACGGCTCCGGTGAGGGCGATGACTTCTACGACGAGGAGGTCGAGGAGGATGAGGAGTTGGACATCGAGGCCGTGCTCGCGGAGATCGATGACATGGATCTGACGGAGGACCAGGTCGAGGACGCCATGGCGAGCCTCTCCAACACGAGGACGTGGAAGCAGAACAAGGACCTCAAGCGGGCCGCCAAGCGGGACAGGGAGTATTTCGGCGGCCGCAGAGGAGGTGATGCCCCTCCCCCACCTCGCGGTTCACCCGGCGGCCGCAGCGGCGGCGCCCGAGGACGAGGCGGTGCCCGAGGCGGAGGTGGTCGGGGAGCTGGCGGCGCTGGGAGAGGCCGACGACGGCCGTGGCTCACTCAAGAGCAGTTGATGAAAGTGACCAAGTGCAAGCTATGCCACCAGAAGGGTCACTGGGGACGAGAGTGCCCCAATCCGCCAAAGGACGGCAAGACAGGTGGCCCCGCCCGTGGGCGCCGAGGCTTGTCCGCCTACGTGTTCGAGGGGTTCGTCGGGGTCAGCTCCCTATCGCTCCCGTCCTGGCGCGAGGCCGAGGAAGAGCTGACGACCGACGCGATCTACCTGACGGCCAAGTCAACCCAGGGACTGGCGGATCCAGGAGCTGGCAGTGACCTCGCGGGCCTCGACGCTCTCAACCGAGAGTCAGAGGCACTGGCCCAGCAAGGGTTGCAGTACGTGGTGGCGCCAGAGGAGCGGCGAGTACTGAGGAACGCCCATGGCGTCGGAGGAGCGGCCAAGGTCATCAGCTCGGTTCCCTTTCCGCTGCGCCTCGGCGGAGCATTCGGAGTGGTTGACGCTGCGGTTTTGGCAGACTCCGTGCCGCATCTCTTGAGCGTGAATCTTCTAGATTTCCTGGGATGTGTGGTTGACCTCCCTCGGAATCAGCTAGCGTCCGCCACTCTCGATCAAGTGATTGTCATGACCAGGCTCGGGTCTGGTTATCGGATGGCTGAGATTGTGAGGCCTCTGAACGAGCCTTACGAGGTCCCGGCGTCTGCTCTGCGCAAGTGCCCTTTTCTCAGGCCCGACTCTTTCACGTTGAAGCACGGGGGGCTACCACTCAAGATGGGCCCGAGTGGCAAGGTCTCGAGGTACATGGCGCTCCTACTCCTTGTCCTCCTATCGGTGGCCATCTCCATGGGGCTCGGGGCGTTGAGATCCAGGAAGGTGCATGGGGCTCATGGGGACTCTACGAGGCCACAAGCACGCCCGGGACGATCAAGGTCGACACTCTGGAGAACTTGGACAACGAGATCAAGGATCAGGAGGACTCTTGGGAGCTTGGGGCCCTGCGGGATCTACTGGGGCCTCATAGGGTTCGAGCTGGTCTTGGGGGTCTTTCAGTCGCGGCCTCAGTGCGCCCGCTCCGACCTAGGATCAAGATGGCCAACTAAGGCGACCAGTAACTACGACAAGGCTCGGCGTCGTGCCACGAAGACGGTCAACCCAGGAGCCCTCGACCCCTGTCCTGTTCTGTCCGTAGCCATCGGCTCGAGCCTTAGTCTCAGCTGTCGGAGATCACGGTTTCGGAGTCGACCGCGACTCGTTCGTATCCATAAAGAAGACGAGGCTGGCCATGCGGCTGGCAGCAGCGGCGATTCTTCTGCTTCCCAGGACCTTGCAGGCCGGAAAGAAGAAGGAGCCCATCGCCAAGAGGGCAACCGACGAGTTCCTGGCACGTCGGGCTGCCGAGGAGGAGTCCGACTCAGGAGCGAGCTCCCAGTCCGAGACTCCGCAACCGCCGATCCAGGGGATGAGCACGCAGAGTCAGCCTGCGGACGAGACCGCAGCTACGCAGCTCACATCCGCCCAGATGCAGGCGGTGCAGGGCATGACGCCCGAGCAGATCCAGCAGCTGGTGGCCCAGGCAGCCGGACAGACCAGTGGCAACACTGCGACGAGCACGGAGGCAGTCGATGCAGTGGTGGAAGCTTCCCAGTCTTTGGAGACATCGCCGGAGGCGACCGGCACAGGGTCGGCCCCTCAGCTGGTCGATCGACCTCCCTTGCCGACGGGGACGCCGCCTGGCTGGCCGCATCCTATTCATCAGCTAACAGCAGCAAGGGCGACTCCAGCAGCGTCGATTGCTCAGGGCCAACCTCCAGTGAAGGCTCCCCCGTCGACCACTCCTACGGCCTCTACGGTGCACGGGCCAGCGCTGCCTGGCAAGCCGCCCCCCGTCCACCCGAACAACTGTCAGCACCCGCAGCACGCGATCAAGTACTACGGGAACCAGCGCGGCGGAGGTTCCAAGTGCAACATCTGCGGGGAGCGCTTGACCTGGGCACGGCGTGGCCAGGGAGGAGGTGGGGTTCCGTCCGCTCCTTCGGCAGCGGAGGCCGCGCAGGCTGTGGCCAGCAGTGCTCGGAAGGCGGTCGACCTCCTGCAGAACGACCCGAACTTTCGAGCCGGGGGTGCAGCACTCACGACAGTGAACTCGTTGAGCACCCTCCTCCAGAGCTTGCACTGGCAGCTGGAGTCCATGCCAGAGGGAGTCAGTGCTTTGGGGCAGGCCCGAGAGGTGATCGACCGGATGGTGGAGGTCGTCACGATGGCCGAGGAACAGCCTACCCAGACGACCGAGGGGCTGCAGCAGAAGCAAGTCATGCAGATCTGCAAGATGCTCGCGGCCTTCAAGGATTCTGGGGAGAATCTCGACACGATGCAGGAGCAGATCCAAGCCATCGGCTCGACGCCGACGAACGTGGAGCACTCCGTGGGTCAGCTCGGCCAGATGATGATCCAGCTGGGCTCGGTCCTAGCCGGGATTGCGCAGGCGGTGAGTGCTCAGACGGCTGCGGAGCCGGTGCCGTTTCACTCTCAGCTGAACCTCTGGCACGTCTCAGGCGAAGCCATGGAGGCGAACGCAGGTTGGCCTGGGAGCGGAGGCTCCTCAGGGAACGGGCAGCCACCGCCTCCTCCGCCACCGCCGCCCGACAGCGAGTCGGGTCGACAGGACGGCGAAGGGCCGACTGCGCGACTGCAGGCCCGGCAGCGAGCCTGCCGACGACGGCTCCCAACAATCCAGCGGAGCTGTACACCATTCCAGAGGAGTTCAAGGTTCATCCGAGTTGGGAGATTTTGAGCGACGCTTCAGAGATTTAAGTGCAGGGTTTCTTGGCTCTTCCAGTCCTGAAGGTGTGAAGACCCTTCAAGGGCTGTGCGCCGCGAGTCTCCCGACCGAGGGGGCAGCTCCTTCCGGCACGTTAGGTGCGTCGGGGAGGCACAATGGGACCTCTCGAGGACTGCAGGGGCCTTGGAGCCTGGACTGGCTCGATGGGGACTCCTATAATGACGATCACGAGGTTGCGTGCGGATTCCAGGTCAGGAGAGCCGTAGAGGACTTGTCCCA